GCAAGAAAATGGTGCTGTATGCTTTAAAGTGATAAATATTAAGAAGAAAAGAAATCGAGCAAGATGGTAAGGGGACTGGGAGTGGTAGACTGTCACCATAATAAATGGAATGGAAGGGCAGGCATCACTGAGAAGGTAACATTTGATAAAAGATGTGACGTGAGAGACCAAGGACATCAGCTATGTGGGAAGAGCATCCTGGGCAAAGGGAAGAGCATCGTGAGATGCTACCGAGCGCATTCATGAGCATTTAAAGAACAAGGAGTTCAGGTGGGAGGGGAGGCTTGTGAGGGATGAATGTGGCCGGGTAATTAGAGCATATGTGGGCCCTGGTCAAGTCTTGGGCCTTTACTCTGAGGACCATGAGAAACTATTGGAGAGTTTGGCAAAGAAAAGCAACATCATCTAGTTTAGGTGTGTGAGGCTCCTGGCTGAGAGCAAACTTTGGAGTGACATGGGTGTCAGTAGAAAGGCTACTGCTTAATCAGGGTGGGTGACATTAGGTCAGATCCAGGTTAGTGACAGTGAAGGTAATGAGAAATATTTTGAAGGTGGAAGCATGGGGATTATGAGAACTGGATGTAGGGAACTGAGAGAATGTGAGAATCAAGATATTCAAGTTTTTATCTGAGTCATGGGAAGACTGGACTTAGCATCCATGAGACAACACATGCTTCAGAGCCCAATCAGGACTTTACTTTGGGGCAAGTTGCATTTAAAATGTCTGTTAGGGGGCCTCCCTGGTGGTGCAGCGGTTGAGCGTTGGATTGAGAAGCTGCCCTCAGCCTCTGCAGTGCCAGTTAGATCCCCTGCCGCCAGGTGAGGGTCCCACATGGTACGCAGACCTCTCCTGCCGCCCACTGCTCCCCTCAGCAGTGTACTTCGTCACTCTGCCTGCTCTGCTCTCTCCTCTGGCTCTGGTGAATTCTCTCACCTCCTGCGCTTCTAGCTGTACCCAGTGCTAGTATAAATAAATAAATAAATCTTAAAAAAAAAAACTCTTAAAAAAAAAAGAAAAAAAATGTCTAAGGGCCTCCTTGGTGGTGCAGGGGTTAAGGACATGGCACTATCAAGCTATCAGCAGCCACTGTGGCATGAGTTCAATTCACGGCCAGGTTGCTAACCCACATAGCACAGCAGATCTCTCCTTTCTCACCTGCTGCTCCCCTCAGTAGTGTATTTCAATAGACCCACCTGTTCTGCTCCCCACTCTCTCTGGTGAATATTCTCACCCCTTGCACCTCTGGTCTCCACCCCAGTTCTTATATGCATAAATAAATTAATCTTTAAAAAATAAATAAAATGTCTATTAGTCACATATATTCATGCTCAGATAAGATAACACATGTAATCTGGACAAATTCTTAAGTTGTACCTATGTAAAGCAGAAGCAGATGGGACAGGTTATTGAGATAGAATTTGCCTGTAGGACACTCTTCTTCAGACTAGAAAAACCTGAGGCCAGTGCTTTAATTCTGTTGCATATCAATGACCTGTTTCCTGTCACCGTTCACAACTAAAATTAGCATATGGGTTCACCTGACTCCCAGATTTCCTTTCTACTTTGTCTTACTGTTTCATTTCATTCAAAATGTTTATTCTGATCAAACTTCCTAATACGTAAGATGCAAGCATGAAGTTTGGCTGGGTCATGATGGATACCTTGGACCACTTGACAGCTCATCCCCAAGTCTCCATTACAAATACTATCCCATGGCTGCCTTCCCCTGGACTGAGCCAAGTCAGGCAGCCATTTTCTTTCTTCTAGCCACTCCCTGCCTGAAGCACCTACATATAGATGCTGGGTCCATCATGGGCAGGGTGAATTTCTCTCCTTCTAACCAGGAGCAGTCATGCTGGGAAGCCCACCCTGGGCAATGCCTGCAGGTGAGTTGCAGGTACAAGAACCATGCTTTGTAGTGCACAGTAAATGAGGTGAATCCATGCTCTGTCAGCTATCCAAGTTATTTGAAAAGGTAACCAATAATCTGGAGTTTCCTACTACCACTGAGGACCTGTCAAGGGGAGAGAGCAAGTAGGACATTCATGGCATTTTCCCACAGCCATGCTAACAGCAAGATACTGCTGAGCCTTGCTCTCCTGGGGGGCAGTGGATGTGTGTCGCTGTGATTCCTAACATCAAGAATCAAAGATACCTTTCTGTTTCTGTCTCAATGTCCTTTCCCTGTTAATCACATCTCTGGAGAGCAGATACCAGGCTCTGGGGCATCACCCAGGGTACTATGATGCCCTTGCTTTATTTCCCCTTCACTACACATTTGTTTAAAGACTCAGGTCACCTCGAAAGTCAATTTCTGATTCATCTTTTGTTTATCCACCAAAACACTTTATATATGTTTGTACAATGTTTGAACCAAAGAAAAGTGATAAAACAAAGCTTACCCTGAGATCCAAAAGAAATGAGGAAATATAATTCCCAGTCTAAAAATCAGTTTTCTTTTGAAATCTATTTAAGGCTGGGAGAAAACATTGAGACTCTGCCTCAGTGCCTTCATACTTACGAGGGCTATATCAGGCTCTATATTTTAACAGACAAATCCAACATTCATGTCCATCTGGACATTTTTAAAAGGATCCTTGAGCCAGTCAGAATTGGCAGTTGGCTGTATAATCACACCTGCATAAGGCACAGAAGTTTTTTTAATGGGCAACAGTTAGAGCATGAAAGTACTGCATGATATGCCTTCATGGAGAACCCACGCTTAAACATGTTTGCACGTGCGAGTAATTATATTTTAAAACTCTCTGTTCACAAAGCTTTGTTCTTTATTTCCTACAAATCAAATTAGTTGGGAACTCAGTTCATTTTGAAATTATTTGGAAAATGTTTTGGTATTCTAAAATTCCCTTTGTACCAAAGTTTTGCAAAGTTAAAAGGCAAGCCACAAACCTCCACAACCAGTAAAAGAAAAATGCGTAAAACCAACAACAAATTAAATATGATAAACACCCACACAATAGGAGTGTGGAAGTCAAGCCTGTGTCTCTAAGTGAATGTCAATCTCTACGGGGCAGTTAGCCCTGACACGCTGTATTGAAGGCAATCATTAATATTTAGATATTGCAGGGAGAATCCTAGCTTTAGAAAGATTACATTTATCTCAGTCCAATTTAGATTGCCAGGACTCTCCGTTACCTCCTCCGTAAATATATTCAAGTCCATCTTCACCATGGAACAGCACCATCTGAAAGTCAAGGTTCTGTATGACGGCAGCTACACTATGAGATGATTTTCAAAGGAAGATTGAAGATAATAGGGGAGGAAGCCTCCTTACCTGGGAGAGCCCAAGTAAGAAATTATCTTCAACCACCTACTCTTGCCTTATTTGCAGATAAACAGAGTCCAGTTTGGGGGACACAATGAGATAACCTACAAAAAAGCACTTGGGGCAACCTTATTAAAGATGATCCCCAGACTTTGGCTACTCTTTCCTTAGAATAGGAGTCACGCGTAAAAATTCTATAAAGAATGGTTACTCATCCCTATATGAGAGGTTTCATCTAAACAGCTTTTGGGAAATGCTTTAGTAACTTCTAAACACCAACATGGAAAGGGACATCCAAAAACAGATGAAAAACCAAATTTTGAATTTAAAACACAGGGTGGGGTGCCTCATTGAAACTCTGAACTCATACACAGGGTGGTATATGAGTGGTGGTGGCTTTGATCTGCTGGGACTTCTTTCTTCATCAGTCTCCCCATAGTTTTCCTATGACTAATTTTTGTTTCTGATAACAAAAAAATTTAATTCTTCAATGGAACGATATGGTTTCACATTGTACTGACCATGGATCAATTCCGCCACTTCATCAACAATTAATGATTGACAAGGACATGGATTGATATTATACATAGATGGATCAGTCAGAATTCAGTAGCAGATAATGACACCACTATAGCTGTTTTAAGGGTTTAAAAGGAATTAAATTCTTACGAAATAAAGAGAAGGGTTCTAAGCTGACTTTTTGCACGGATGACTGGTAGAAAAACACCACGGAAACAGCTCACCTCGGGAACTGCTGTTTCCAACATCGTTTCTGCTGTTCCTGAAGACTCTGCTGAGGCCCACCCAGTAAAAACCCACTTCTGAATGCCTGTGAAGCCAGAAATGAACACTGGAAACTCTGAACTGTTTCTATAGGAAAACCACAATTGCATACAAATAGTGCCTCAGCCCCTGCTTCACATATGCCTTCCATATCATGCTCAGATTCATTTATTTGTAGAAAGTTAGGTCATTTTCAGACATAAGATAGTTGGAAAAAAAGAATATTTTGTTTTCCAGTCTCTACTATTACATGAAGTGGTGGATTGCAAACTTATTAGAACTACCTAGGGTTGCTTTTAGAATTCACACACCTCAGTTACAACTCATAACAAGAAACTTTACATCTTTGGGACTTCCTTATGTTAAAAAACAAACAAACAAACAAACAAAACATGATAATGATTCAAAAGTACAGCCAGTGTTGAACCAAAGATGCAAAATATGCCATCTTAAATTTCATAGTACACATGAATAATCTGGGTATTTTGTACAAATACAGAATCTGTTTCAGTTCATTTGAGTTGGGGTCCAAGATTCTGAGGTAATGCTGGTGCAGATGACACTTTGAGCAGTAGAGATGTTCTACCATGGTTCTCAAACTTTAGTGTGCATCAGAATCACTTAAGAGAGTTTGTTATGGCACATGTTGCTAAGGTCCACCCTCAGAATTCATTAGGTCTGGGGTGGGACCTGAGAATCTGAATTTCCAACAAATTCTTTGATGATGCTGAAGCTGTTAGTATGGATACCACAGAATCACTGATACAAAGCATGCTACAATGGAGTTGGAATGGAGTTGAGCAAGCCAATCACTATATCTGCAGCAGATGGCCACCATGTGTAATTTCTAATGAATTCAAAGAGTTTGTATTCTATTTGGATCCAACAGATAGAGGGACTCAGAAGAGAAAGTAAAATTTCATTACTTACACTACACCCAGTTGCTTTATCTTCCTTCCATACATGAAATCACGGATTAATTAAGTTGGGGAGACCTCACAGGAACATATAGCTAGATGGCAGAAACAAGGAAAAGGAAAGAGAGAATATCAGTCTTCTGTATCACAGTAAAGAAGATTACATTCACATTTTATTCTAGAAAAACAAGGAAAAATATCTGAATATTGGCTGGATGGCAGAGGCAAATGATCTATGGCTCATATGGTTCCCATGGATGAGATTTCAAGTGACATCCAGCTGACTGCTAATTCACTGGGAACATATCAGATGTTGGGGATTGTATCTTCCCTGTAATACACTCCAGGGAAGGGGGTGGGAATTTCCTGAATGCGTCTTCAGCCACAAGCTATTAAAGTTTTGTCATAAACTAGAAAACAACAGGCATCAGGCAATATAATCTTCGTATGATGTGTTTCATTATAATTTACCATATCAGACAGTTTCACTCAAAATCACAGTTTGGATTATTACTTATACTATATTAGAATACTTTATGTCTCCCCATCTTTACTTCTTTTATTCCACATTCACAGGGTACTGGATTCTCAAAATGGAGGTCCAATTTCTCACTCATGATTACTATATAAACCAAGTGAACTTGGTAATATTATCATGATCTGAAGCTCCATGACCTCCATGTATGAGAATCTAGGTAGGTAAGCACCTGGACTTCAGCAAAATCCAACAGTCTCCAGGAATAACAGAGGATAAAAGAACCCCACATTGAAGAAAGTCAGACTGTAGTTTCTGACTCATATCTCATGTTTAACTGAAAATGACCACAATGCCCTCCCCCAAATCAAAGTTTCCTAGTTTTCTGACATTAGTCAAAAGTCTACAAAACTAATGAAATGCAGGTTTTATTCCTAGCCTTCGGAAATGCAAAGATATATAAGACAGAGCTGTTATTACTCACACATACTGAACACCAAACAAGAAGGTTTTTTTCTTCATAGCAACCAATTCTCTAGGTCTTCAGAACAACTGGATGTCCAATAATTAAATTCAATTCTGACACTAGTCAAAATTAGTGTAGACCCTATAAATTAGGATTTCAGGTCTGCAAGGCTGACCACTACCACCCCCCAGGACTTTTGTACTTATGACCAAATGCCTATAAACTGGAATTCCTCATGACCCTTCAACTGAGGTTAAACAATTTTCTAGAAAAACTCATAGAACTCAGAGATGCACCTTATTTGCATTTATCAACTTATTACAATAAAGACTAAACTGAGGAACTGTGGAAATGATGGGATACAAAGGTCAAGGCATAGAGGGGTACAGCGCTGCTTCCATGCCTTCTTAAAGTACCCCCCACCCTCTAGCACATCTATGTGCTCAACAGTACAGAAGCTCTCTATATCCCATTGTTCAGGGGTATTTAAGGGGATTTCATTACATATCTATGAATTAAATTATTGATCATTAGTGATTCACTCAACTCAGTTTCCAGGTCTTCTCTCTTCCCTATATGTTAGGGTGTGGCTGAAAATGTCATACCACAATTGAATTTTTAAGGCTTGGTCTTTTTGGTGACCAGTCTCCATCCTGACATTATTTATTGGCCCGCCAAGAGTTGCCTCTTAAGAGCAAAAAACACTTCTTTCACCCTTATCATTCAGAAAATTGCAAGGGTTTTAGGAGTTCTATATGGGAAAAATATAGACCAAATATCTCTCCATAATTCTACTTACAGGGTCAACAGCCTTTGACAGTTTTGTAACCATGCTGTGGAAGTAGGATATGGACATAATAATATAATTAATAATAGTGCAATGCATCATCTTTTATTGTTATAGACCAAAAGTATTACAGACATTGAGAAAAGGGAGAATTCAATCACCAAGGACTAGAATAACTTGAACCAAGTCAACCTGGAAGGTGAGTATGGGGGTTATTGCACTTATTCTGTGCTAGTTTAGTCAAAGACACAGCTTCTGAAGCTCCCTTCTTCTGATGTGAGAGATGGTGGTGGCTAGGAAAAAGTAAAGTCAGAAATGGAATGAGATGTCTGGATTTCATCCTCCCATACCTAATCCATGCCCCAGCCTTGGGCAAAAGGGAAGGTGACAGGAAGGTAGGGAAAACTAATAGAAACATTGAGAGGTTACTGCCCTGCCTTCCCACTCATGGTTTAGAATAGCCCCTTAGAGGAGCCCCAGCTTATTATATGGTACCAACACAAATGTAATAAGGAAGTGATCATTTTGGAGAAGGCAGGAGGAGGAAAGGTGATGCAAAAGCATCTCAGGCCACTGCACCTTGCGAAGGGTATACAGAAGCCCAAGAAGTCCTGGGTGATCCATGAGGAGACACAGAGTTTTTGAGAAAAGCTACAGTAGAGCCAAGGCTCAAGGAGAGATAAAAGATGCCCCTGTGGGCAGGAAATTCAAGATGGCAGCAAGTGGGTAGGACTTTGAATGTTGAAAGAACACCCAGACACATTCTAAGTTGAAAAAAGATCAGTCTGTCTACTCCTGCTGCAGAGGTCAATGAAAAACCAAAGGTCACACTAAACATTTAGTCAGGCGAGACAATTTCAGAAGTTCTGAAAGAAATATAGGTGGGTCTCCCTGCTGGTGCAAGGGTTAAGATGCAACCTATGAAGCAATCCGCGGCCACTGCACACGAGTTCAATCCCCGGCCAGCCAGGGAGCAACCCACATAGCACAGCAGACCTCTCCTGACTCGCCTGCTGCTCCCCTCAGCAGTGTACTTCGGTCAATCTGCCTGTTCTGCTCTCCACTCTGTCTCTGGTGAATCCTCTCACCCCCTACACCTCTGGCCTGTACCCCAGCTCTTGTATGCATAAATAAATAAATCTTTAAAAAAAAAAAGAAATACAGGTATGTTATGTGATTCTTAAAAAAAAATGTAGTTGGATAGGTTTACAGGGGTTGATTCATATAAAAGTAAGAATTAAAGAGGGCCTCCCCAGTGGCGCAGCGGTTGAGCGCTGGGTTGCGAAGCTGCCCACAGCCTCCGTGGCGCCGGTTCGATCCCCGGCTGCTCCCCGGCCCCGGAAGAGGATCCCACATGGTGCGCAGACCTCTCCTGCCACCCGCTGCTCCCCTCAGCAGTGTGCTTCGGTCCTTCTGCCTATTCTGCTCCCCGCTCTGGCTCTGGTGAATTCTCTCACCCTCCCGCGCTTCTGACTGTACCCAGTGCATGTATAAACAAAACAAACAAACAAATATAATAAATAAATAAATAAAAACATGCCTCTATTAAAAAAAAAAAAGAATTAAAGAGCCATGCTAGTAAATGAAAACTCTGGGGGGTAGTATAATATGAACCAAACACACTGGAAGGAGGAGTAATCATAGCAAACATTCACCTTTCTGTTTTGTTGTAGAAAGAGAGGGAAAAAGACAGGGACAGCTGCTGGTGATTTATAAAGATGTTGTTGAAAGAGATTTTTAATGTAACCCAAAACCTGTTGCCAAATTCACTATTCACACATCAGATGCTGGGAACTATGTTATCAACACCAAGTGGTTAAAAATTTCAGTTAAAAAAAAATCTGAATTTTGTTATTGTTTCATCAGTTAATGATTATTAGAGACAGCAGAGCAGCTCATAGGTAGGGGAATGCATACCTCAAAGACAAGAAAGAGGAGAACATTATGAAAAAGTGAATGGCCAACAACTCTGAATGTCCAGTGGAGCCTGAAGTTTAAAGTCTAAAAGATAGAGCTAGAAGCAACCAGAATAAAAACTTGGGGGATGCTGGGACAGGGAAGGACAGAAGGAAGAGAACATTTCTCTTCATGTGAGAAATTTTGCAATTAAAGTAAAAGAGGATATTTCTAAGTATTTAGGGAAGAGGGTTTGTTTTCTGTGTTTTGGGGGTTTTTTTGCATTGTTTTGAGTCAGGGGTCACTGAATATCTACTTTGGTGATTTCTACTAAGTCAGGGAAACCTAGTCCATATTTATGGACAAAGTAGGGACAAGGAATTCTAGGAGGAATAATGAAGGCTATAAGAGAAAAAAGGATGTGTTGAGGGAACAAAACTTCAGAGCAAGGAGAAAAGGCTCAAAAGATTGGAAGGAATCCTCTCTCTAAAACAACTGGAGAAAAGGAGAAAACCAGGGAATTCTAGACCAGGACTTGTGAAAAAGATAAGGAGGCAGTTCTGTAAAGCATGTTCTCTTAACCTTGGTACTATTAATATGTCAGGCTAGATAATACTTAGTTGCGAGGGGTTGTTCTGTGAGGCACATTTAGCAGCATCTCTGACCTCTATCTTGGGGTGCCATAGCTATGACAAGCAAAATATACATTATAACCAAATGTCCTCTGGGGGGGGGGGCAGGGGCAAAACTGCGCTTGGCTGAGAACCACTGGGTTCAAGAAACTGATGGGTGAATCCGAAGCTAGGAAGTTGCTCCCATACTCCTCACACATCCAAGATGCAAGTCCTTATGAGGGAAAGAGGAAAGTGTAGGAAATTGGTTAAGCACTGTGGCAGGGGTTATCCAGGATGGAGAAGGCACTAAATTGCACCAGGAAAATTTTCCTTCCTCTTCCTCTCCCTTCTCATGAAGCTGCAAGGTCCTGTGACCTGGTGAGAGTGATTCATTATCTTTCTCAACGGTGGCCAGGAATCTCTCTCACTGCTATAATACATGCTGTGGTAGCTGAGGTTTATAGCAGACATGTCTCTGCTACTATAAAATTATGTCATCTAGGTCTGAAGATTCAAAAGCCTATGAAATGTTCCCAGTAAATATTAGAGCCATTGCTTTATGGCTGCAAGTGAAAGGGCATGAAGGGCATACCCTGCCACATGGTGGGTCCTCACAGCCTCTTCAAAACCCTAACGTCATCTGTTACATGCCATGGGCAGAGAAGTGGTTGGCAGCCAAGTGGACATGTGTGGGTAGTTCCACACTGTCAGGGAAGTGCTGTAGAATACAGGTGAGAACAATTAAATAAACTGGAGATTCTAGAATCCTCTCGATTCTGAATCAACCAGTAAGCATCGTAAAGTTTACCCTTTGCAGGTATAAGCTTAGGGCTACAAACCACCTTATGGCAAGGAGC